CCACTCCTCATCAGCCGGTGAAAATGCTACGCTAGCATCAACAAATTTTTCGGCAGCCGCATGTGCTCGGCGAATCAACTCTTCTTTCATTGCCACAGCCTTGGGTTTACTGGCCTTGGTAGGTGCCTTCTTGCTTTTCGTTTTCCGTTGCGCACCTTGGTTTTCGCTTCGGGGTGCCTTTGGAGCTGATTGTTCGGCAGGACCGCGCTTTTTTCGCTTAGGTTTTGCTGCCCCCGAGCAATTTTTAGCAGGATGTGTGGCGGCGTTGGTCTCTGCAGGTTCCGACGGAGCCATACTTGGCGTCAAAACACTCGCGGGGAGGTCAAGTAGGGCATTGGGTCGTTCATCACTTCTCCCTTGGTCCACCAAGTTCATTTTTGTAGCGTTTGTGTTGCAAAGCGTGCTGCAATAGCTGCTATCACCGAAATCCTTGGCGAATCCACCATTAGGGTCTGGGATATTCAACGAAACGCAGACATCATGAGAGCAGAAGTGATGGAGAAATTTTTTGCACCAGGTACAACTGCGCTCGGTTGAACACTCCATATTGCAGACTGTACATTGCGCACATGTACCAGACGATGCGGTGGGTGCGTGGTGATCTAGCTGGAGTAAATGGTCTCGCGTAGCTGCTGCATGTACGGGTACGACGCGCGCTGATGTTGGCGGTGTAGATACAGCAGAGGCAGCACCATCATAATCCTGATAGGTGCTGGCAGCACCATCAAACACCGATTCGTGACAGCTTACTCCCGGAAGCGCGGCTTTCTCACAATCAACGTCGTTTGCACTCGCTCCAGGAACTCCGCCGCTACTACCACGTACATCATCTGCCGCGTTGAGACCAACATCGCCAGCCCCACATATATTAACGTTGTTTTGGTCGACATCAATTTCGTCATCGGGTCGCCTGGACAGGGCACCATCCGTATCACCATCCTCCACTACCAATGTCCGCCGATAGTGCTCCAAAAGCGCTCGTTCACCCAGATAATAGTCGATACCCTCTGTTCCATTCGAGTCACCACCGGGAGGGATATAGCGGTACAGATCACTCAAGCTTCGCCCTGTTGGACGCTTTGAACTCCAACCAGCCGCACTTAGAACTCGCCAAACAGATCCAAACATCACATGGTCATCCGCGAGGTCTGTATGCCGGTGGACACGCCTCAATATGATACCTTGCTCGAGCGCTAGGTAAGCAACGGATCGAACCTAGACCGGTGGGAGCTGAAGGTGAGATAAGACCCGAGCGTCGTGATTGTTGTCGCTTAGCTGTGGGCTCGCAGGTGCTCGACCGCTGCTTCCGCTTTCGTGGCATTGGGTATGTGGTGGTGGACGAGCTCAGCTAGCGTACCAGTGGCTCCTTCACGGCAAAGATCTCTAACTGGTTTGCATGCATCGGTCTCGCTTGAGCCATTGGACCGAATATATTGTTATTTGTATGGCCATGTTCGAAGTGTTCAAAGGGACCGAACGTACTAGGCTTTGTATGGGGTGGTTCGACTCATCGTTGTATGTGATGTTAGTATGGTGGAGTTTGAACCCACCGGTGCAGGTTCAATGCCCGCCATGCGGAATGCAGCGTAGCTGTGCTGACAAGGTACCGTGCAAAATGCATCGGATATCGAGCGCGGGATGAATACAGTGTAATTACACAGAGTCATGAATAGTACGAGTACTCAAAGCGTTCAACGGTAACATACGGTACTTAGATTTACTCCAGTATTGCTACCAAATGTAAGTGCTGTAGCGGCTTCGGCATCGTCTCCACAGTTACGTTGACCCATGCAAGCCCCATA